TTGGGGTCTAAAATTACCTTCATAGCAATTTTAGTTCTTAAAAGGGCACTAGAAATGTCATAGATAAGAATAAGAGCAATAACCATGCACTTTGAAGGCATTTGCAGTCTGAAAACAGAATTCAACTATCCCCTTAAGTTAAATTTTGCAATCAAATTTTTGGCAAATTCGGGGCTCCCAACACTTTAGAGGGGCTTCAATGTCGTGGTGAAACTTATTTCAAATCACGGCTAAATTTAAAGAAGATAGTTTGAGTGATGAAGAGTTAAGAAGAAATGATAAAGGGCGAGGGACATGTTTCTAGTACAAGAGAAGAAAATATAGAAAGAGAGAGAGAGGGAGCTTTCAGAATGGCATGGTATGACGGAAATAATGAAGTGAGAGAGTGAGAGATACATGTAAATACAGTATAAGAGAAAGAAATGACCTATCATATCTGACGAGTTGTCTATTTGTATCCTGTCCCTATCAATCTCTCATTATCTCTCCCTCTCTTTTCATTGATGTTTACATATCACGAACACACACGCACACGCGCGCGCCCACACATAAACATGCACATGAGACCGCGCGCACACACACACCCCTTACATTAGTCGTGTGACATGCGTGCGGTGGCCTCCAGATGCACACACATCTGAAATGTATTGTTTTTTTTAAACCGGATAATTGATTGATTGATTCTATTTCTTGACACCTTACTATCTGTCTAGCACAAGAGAAACTAGGCATATATACTTCATAACCAAAGTAGAGATTTTTTTTTTATAAACTGATAGAAATGCGCCATGGTATTCCCTTTAAATTAATATAATTATTTGTGGTACAAAATATAAGGAGTGTCTAGATCAACTTTGATGTTTATTGAAGAAAAATGTTTCGCTCCTCCCCCTCTTTGTTTCTCTTCTATCATTCATACTTTATTTTACACCCGTACTCTCTTACAATTATTCTGTCCCATCTCATACTTCTTCTCTCCTTTCTCTCTCTCGACCTATCTCTCTTTTTTTAAGAAGAGTTCATTATGTTGATATCTTGTTCTACTTCAATCACTCTTTCTTTTCCTGTCTCTCACAAAATCTTTGTCATGTTTCATCTACATATAATTATTGTTTTCTACCCTTTCCGTGTTTTCTCTGTTAGTATCTACCCTTCCGTTCTTCCCCTCAACATGTAATTCACTCTATACCCCCCCCCCCCCACTCTCTCCCCCTCTCTGTATCTATATCAGTATTCAGAACAGCTTCACCATTTATCTTATCAATTATTTAAATGAAGAAATAAGAATAATTTCACCATTACGGCAGTCAAATAGTTACGAATCTTATTAGATTTCCAAAATTGTGATGTAATAACATCATTGTTGAATTCAAAACCTACAGCTTATAAGCATTTCATTCAGATTTAAAAGAAAGACTAAGATTTAAGCAATTATAAAAACAGATATAAATTCATAGATATGATATGGCACTTTTATTATTGCAAGTTTGCAGAACCATACCACAAATACGTGTATTAAGTATTTCAATAGCACCTTCATACGTTCATTTAAGAATGCATACACTATTATTATTACAATATGAAACTAATTCCATGAGGTTCTCTGACAACTATCATGCAAACACAAGTGTGTAACAAATTTGTTTACAAAAATGTTTGTCTTAAAAATATAAAATTACAAACATTGACAAAACCACGTCAAATGAAATAACGTATCCTGTAGTCATAAAAGGACTCTGTTTTTAAATGAATACAATAAGATGTAGTTCTTGTCTATTCTTAGATAATGATGTCAGAAATCATATATAAAGTCCAGAACGATAAACGTTCATAACATTTTGAAAATTATTAGTAATTATTCAACCTGGAGGTGCAACGAATCCCATATGCAGACACATTGCTGAACGCACGGAATAAACAGTAACAGGGCCAGTAAACGACTTCGAAGTGCGAACATAATTCGTCATGTCACAACATAATGAAATGTTTCTTCATGTTAATATTTCAAACCAAACGGAGCATTTTTGATAAATTCATGACTCGTTAGCTTATAGAACTGTTTTGTTTTCACGCAATAAGTTAACAATTTGTACACATAATGCAGCTTTAAATTGAACATTATCAACTTAAAATACTATAAATATTATGCACATATATACATGTATATACAAGGCCCTATTTCCAAATTTCGAATTACTCATTAGTACAACTCACTTCTGTACCTTACGGACTCGTAAAGAGATATTGGATCATAACTATTTTGTTTCGAGAGCCCTCGTTTTGGGGGGCTACCATTTCAGCAAGTCCCGATAACAATACATGATTCATTGACATGCCTCAGAAACTGTCGGAAAATGTAGCTTGTACAGTCGCAAATGTTTAGTGAAAGTAATATAGGGATAAATTAGCCCTACAAATGTTTATGGCCTGTGTAGCCTAAATCATTCTTCATTTCTGAGCTACCTACTGCTACTAAACTTATGAACTAAAATTCAACTTCAGGCCAGTTCTGTTAACTTTTTTCCCTTCATATTCCACATTGTGTACTGTTTGTAAATAAAGTAAAAACCTAATATTTACAAATGTGGTCAGACTAAACAAAAATAAATGACAAATATCAAATTAATAACTTGTAGATTCCTAGGTGTCACATACTTCTTTGCTACAAAAAAACTCCAAGATAATTTATAAGCATGTACAGACATTAAAAACTATGATACTGTCTGAAAAACAGGACAATGTGAGACCAAAACATACAAACGCGCGCGCACACACACCTTCACACATAAATATTTATATCAAAACATTAATTAATTAATAAGTAAACAGAAATGAGCACATTATGCTTGTTGGTTATAGCTCCTTAAAGGTAATACAATAATGCATGCTCTTGTATAAATGCACAAGTTACTATGAACATAACTCTCAACCAAGTATTGTCAAATGATAGATCAAATGACCAGTAAAGTTCTTAGTAAAAGGAACGTATGATAGAGTTTTTTGTTTTGTTTTGTTTTGTTTGTTGTTGAAATAATGTTGATAAATAATTATATATCATAATACAAGATGACAGGCGATTTGAAACAAAAATAAACAAAAATTGTTCATATGACAAGCCTGCCTTTGTGCAGAAAAAGAACTGTCCATCTTCGGTGTGTCACCTAGTGTGTGAGTTTCACGAATGCCCGGAGGTTATTTAGGAATACATATTATTTCATCTACACTTTGTACACTGAACTCTTCAGCTGGCTATTGCGATTTCAGTTCCGTGCTATATACAAATATATACGATAATGTATATACACCAATGCTCTTAGTCCATGCACGAGCTGCATGTCAATATAGCAATACATGTATAAAATGATTTATGTACAATTTGTACGCAAAGTTCCTAAACTACATGTACATTTACTTACTACATCAAATATACGTGATACAAAAAACAAGAGACTACGGGAGCAAGAAGTGGCTTAATTTATATTTGAATACACCTCTTTATCCAAATAAAGATAAGAGAGAACTACACTGTGGACATGTAAGAATAATGAATTACATGTCAATAACAACCATAAAAATACACCTTCCCAAATATGTTTAAGATAGCTCTGCGTATACGCATAATATTTATACTCAAACTGATTATAAGAGGTTAATTACACCATAATATTCCTGTAATCACACTTTTGGAAAGTCGAGTACACTGTAGAATTTTCTACGTTAAAGGTTTTATTTCAAAAATAATATGAAATTGAGAAAATAAGAAAATACACATCACTTTTTTTCAAATTTTCCTTTAGCAGATGTATTGTCATGTTTCATATTCTTTTCTTGTTATTTATCAGGATGCCTATATCTAATAAAAGTTCATGATTATCAGTGGTCTATTGTAATGATGTTGGATCCATTTTCTTTCATTGCATGTGAAATACCTTTTATATTTCCTTCCTAAAGGAATAAGTGTATAGAGTAAACTGTGTAACAATTAATGGAAATTAAAAATTGAATAAATGAGTTCTTAAACTCACCAACTACCAGATAAGAGATACTACTATGGTTCGAAACTTCCACAGTAAATTGAGAAGTACCAATCCTGCAGAATTCGTTCAGAAGAAAATGTGTAAACACTATATTCTGTTTAATTACAAGATCCTGGCATCACTTCCTAATATTTAAAACATCGTATAGGCAGATGGCTAATATTGACTTTTGAACACACTGTGTCAGGTCAATGATAATACAATATTGTTGTATCGAGTAAAATTAAAAACATATCAACAAGAGGAGGAGTCGTCGTGGATATGTCATTGGACTGTGGATCACAAGGTCCGCGGTTCAAGTCTCGCCGCGGCTCTAATGTCCTGTGGAAAGACATTGATCTAATCTCCCCCCCCCCCCCCCCGGTAGGATGCGAAAGCTAATATGCTTAGATTAGCAAGTGTGCGCTTGTAAAAAATTTCGCCTGACTGGAATGCTCCCCAGGGAGTGGAGAATGTGCATACATTGTGTGCGGGTAGGCCTGAATCCGATGACCGGGGTAATAATATATATCTGTAAAGCACTTTGAGAGGGCCTGCGGTCCTGAAAAGCGCAATAAAAGAACGAGCTATTATTATTATTATTATTATTGTTAACAAAAGAAAAGAGAGAAAGAAAAGTTGGCAAGGCAATTGATAGTCACTACCAGGCTCGTAATTAGGATTTCAGTGGTGTGGGCATTAAAAGAGGTGGACCCTTTCGAGGGCACGAAGCGCCCGAGCTGGGGAGGGTCTGGGAGGGGTTCCACCCCCCCCCCCCCCCCACCCAGTGTAGGAAAAATGTTGGCATTTTCTGTCTGAAATATATTTTTAGGTACAATTCCCTTTTTTTTTTTTTTTTTTTCCCTTCGTTATTGTTTTTTTTACAGACCTCTTATCGCTAGCAGGAGGACACACCCCGTACCCCCTTAATTACGGGCCTGGTCTCAACACATTTATGCATTTATATGTCTTGCAAGAAAACTATGGGGTTCAACATTTATACCCCCACCATGGTATATTGTACCAGGAAAGGAATAAAAATAATATTGTCTTCTACAATCTTCTTTCATCATTGCTTAACTAATTTTCCCTAACATATGGCGCACATATTTTTCAATCGCAAAACCAAAAGTATTTATTTCGAGGAAGACATGTCATTTGGCTAAGGTATGAAGTTATTATACGACTGTTGGGACGCTTATGGTATATGCACATCTTGCCGGACCATGCTTTACGGTGGCAGTCAGTTTGCCTTCATTGTTCACCTCAGCAATCACGATATCCAAATACTGGTCTGTCCAACACGAGTCCAGTCTGTAAGAAAATATTTCACAAGAAATGAGTTGACTTATGTTGTAACAGGAATCAAATCGGAAATATGACTCACGATTTTAATTATTAATGAATTCAAAATCAGGCATAATAATCTAAATATAAAGTTGAGTTCTGGTCATGCGATTGCATTGTGAAAGAAAGGTGTGGAATGGATCAGAAAAAGTTGATCATGTAGCATGTAAGTATTGGTGTGTACCGCAAGGTTCTGGAGTCATCAAAATCATAATAAATTTGGCCAAGTTTGGTAAAGTAACCAGAACTCAAATTTATCTTTAACGAGGATCAGTATAGATAATATAAAATTAATATGAGCTTACTCTATGATTGACAGATGTGGATGGGTCTTCATGGTTTGGATGATCTCAGTTGCCTCTTCGTTGCCCAGCTTAACGCGGCTAAGGGACAGCTTATTGAGCCGAGGACACGATGTTTTAACTGCTCTGCAGAATTCTGCGGGATCTAGCGTTTTCTGCCAATCGATGCGAAGTTCGGTGAGATCTCGGAACGGAGAACACGCCCTGGTGATAGAGTTTGACGAGTCATAATCCGAGCCATAGAAGTTGAGTGCAAGCATTTTAACTCGTGGACATGACGTATGAAGCCCCATCTTCCACAGTCCAGCCAAACCCCGGCAGTCTAGAGACAGCTCATACACGGATGTCTTTCTGAGAGTCTGAAGGAGTATATTAAAGTTGACATATTTTTGTAATGAAACAGTTTATACCTAGAATGGCTATGACGACTTTTAATCCTAAGCGTTCCTATTTTCACGAAGTGACGGTAGTGCATGAGGAAAATCGCATACACTTTGCGTGACGATTTTCCTCACTACCGTCACTTCGTGAAAATAGGGACGAGATGATGAAAAAGAAGAACAAGAAGAATAATGAAAATAATGATAATTATAATAATAATAACAACAACATTGGATATTTTAAAAGCGCGCATATCCATTACGCAAGATGTGCAATGCCTTCCAATATTATCCCGGCTCTGTAGGCTTCTGATTTCGTTGTTCACAGCATTCAATGAGTTCCTTCCTACCAAATTAACACCTGGTTGGAGAGTGGCAAATGTAGATTAATGTCTAGCCAAAAATAAATTGCCAAGGCTTGAACACCACTACGCCATTTATATCTTAGTCATACCCAGACGCGCCGGAAGCAGTTTGTTATTGGGGGGGGGGGACTTTCCCGGGGGCTCACCTTTCAGGGGCAGTTGCGTAATCAGCAAAAACATTTGGGGGCAGAAGAAAAATCTGCATCACTTCTACTCTTACATGTTACATGCATGCCCCTCGGAGCGTTTTTCAATGTGTAGTATTAACGATCAGGTAGAGAGTAGCGAATGGAGCGTAAATTGGCTTGGGGTCCAGGGACGGAGCCCTCGGAAGCTCAGAGGTTTTAGGCATTACATTACGGTCAGATAAGCATATTTAAATACCTTATTAGTGACACCGGCAGGTCACTAATTTGCGTTGGGCCCAGGGGGCTGAGCCCCATGAAGCTCATTTTTTTTTTTTTGGGGGGGGGGGGGGAGGGGGGTATTTAATCATGGTCAGATGAGCATTCAGGGGCCGCCTTAGCTCTCTTGGTGGGATCCAGGGAGCAGAGCCCGGAGGCTCATGGGGTTATGGCATTTAATTCCGGTCACGTTAGCATATTTTTATACCTCATTTGTGAACCTGACAAGTCACACATTATTTTTTTCTCTATTTCTTTCTTTAACATACTTTTTCACAAAAGTGAGGGGGGCTCAAGCCCCAGAGCTCCGCCGTTCTGCAGGCCCTGGCATAAAGGCTTCTGAATAGGCCTAAGCATATTTTTTGCCTGACGGTCAATTTAAGAGTTTGTAATTTTCCAATAAACGCATAAAAAAGTAATTTACAGAGAAAATAGGGGAAAAACCCCGAAAATCACGTCATTTTAGAAACAATTATTGTTAATCACAGGTATCGAATTTGAGAAAAAAAGAACGTTTGAATTATACTTAGGATAATTATAATTATGCCATTAGCTCATGCCCCAGGTAGGATTGTGTTTTCAATCAAACTGAGAAAGATTGGGAACTGTTAGATACATGTCCTAAGGTACTAGGGTACCTGTACTAATTGTAGTTTAATCAATTAAGTTTACGTGGAGCGATCCCCTATAAACCCATTTTATTTATACTTTATTTTAAATGAATCCTATTCTAATAAGGAGTGTCATTGACTAATTTGGGAGACTTCTTAGAAGATTTTTCGGATACACCCAGGGATCGTGAAACAGCCATCCGGGGTCGTGGCCATCGCCAGCACCTCGTCCTCGTACCCAGCTACAATGTTATCCCTCGGGAACCATCATGGAGATGGTGCAGTAGGCCACTCTGAAGCTGAACGCCAAACTGCGGTAGGAGTCACCAGTAGCAAGGAACCTCAGCGTGGTAGCCAGCCTCAGGTAAGCAGGCAAACCTGGAAGGCAGTATCAGCGCAAGGAGATTCTGGGGACCAATCGGTCTACCATCTCCCGGAACATGGGTGGCTCGATTCTGAGATAGGCTTATGAGAGGCCACGCGACTCCCGCATCAACTCCTTCATCAAGGTGTCGTAGTGTCCCAGTGTGACCCGTCTCAGCGAGCCACAGCTTCACCGATGCCATCCTCTCCATGTGCCTCACGAGTCTACAATCTCTGCACGATTTTGTATAACTTTCCGCGAAACAAAATCGTAAAGGCCGCGGAGCCCGTAAATCCGTACGAAACTCTCAAGGCCGCCTCCTGCCTTCGCACGGAGGCCGCACGGAAAAGGGGAAAAGGGGATACGGGCAGGATATGGGCTCCGTAGACTAATCGCAGGCCAAATGTAAACTAGGCATTTAACGGGGGCACAGCACCCCTTGAAAGAGTTAGTGGCACTTGGGGCAGCATCCCCCCCTCATTGTTTCCATATGGAAACATTTGCTTGTATTTGTCTCATAAAAGAAGTTGAACACAAACTGACTCCCACACGGTGTTGAGTGCTCAGGGGTCACGGGCCACTGGCTTCATCGGGCAGGTAGTTCCATTATATGAATGGGTAAATTAACTATTACAAAATGAGGGGACACATTATATTGTACAATAGGGACACACATTGTTTTTATTGTGCAGAACATACTCTTTTATTGACTTACTTATTGCATGAAACTTTAAAACCAAAATGCATTTTGTATTCTAACAATTGAAGTACAAAGAATAATAACAGGTGAACGAAATGTATAAACACCACAAACACCTGTGGAGGAAGCATTCATAAATTTGAATAATTTAGTTGATAAACGACTCCGATGAAACTATAAAATCAAAATGGGGCCTGTCACCACGTAATGAGTCCAGTTGGTCAAAATTTTATTCCTGTTTTTAAGTATTATATGAATCTACATTAAGTAAGCTTTAAATTAAGGGGTCACACATTAAAATTGATAAATTATATCCAGAAATATGAACAAAAACCTAATTGGACTTTATAAACAATGGGATTTACCAGTTTTTAAAAATGCATCATTTTCGTGATAATTTCAGATTACATAGCCTATATTATTTGCCAAAAAATGTTAGAAGGAGACATTTTCGTGACCTAAGCTCTGGGGACATAAACTACAAGACATTAATAAGTCGATTTTTGGAAAAAATCTTAAATGTGGTAGGTGGGTCAATTTTCAGTACATACACACTATACATCGCTATTACTACGATTGAGCCTAATGCGACACTGGACTCATTTCGTGGTGACTGGCCCCAAATGTAATTTGCGTTCTGGCAATTGGAGTACAAAGAATAATAACAGGTGAATGAAACGCTTTAACAACACAAACACCTTGGAAGGAAGCATCCATAAATTTGAATAATTTAGTTGATAAACGACTCCGCATGTGGACGTTTGGTGGAGAAGAAAGCAGTGGATTATTGACAACACGAACCCATTTAACAGAATGTCGGAACGTAAATTAAAGTTGGCGCGGTTGGAAAATGCATCTTTCTACTTTGCGACTTTAATGGTACGATCCAGTAAATTAAAATAGTAAAATGGGTCTTATTTTAAAATTACTCATTAAATAAAACCCAAAACTTCAGTGATATCAGACAAAATATGTTATATCTTACCAGGCGCGTACGCAGGATTTTTTCAAGGGGGGGGGGGGGGGGGGGGGGGGTTAACATTTATAAATCGGGCCGAAAATTTCGCAACGACTCAGCCAGCCGCTGAATAAGCAGGGGGGGGGGGGGGGGGGGGGTAAGAGGCCACATTTTTTTTTTTTTTTTTGGGGGGGGGGGTCTCGAAATTTGAAAATTTGACATTTTGCTCCGTTGGGGGGGGGGGGGGGTAAGGTCAGCTTTTTAAGGTCAACCATGGGATTATTTTTTTTTTTTTTTAATAAAAAAATTTAAAAAAAAAATCCAAAAGGGGGGGGGGGGGGGTTTAGAGAAATTTAGGGGGGTTTACACACAAAAAATTACCAAAGGGGGGGTTTAACCCCTCAAACCCCCCCCCCCCTGTGTACGCGCCTGTATCTTACTAATAATTTAAAAAGATGTATAAACATTGGGAAAGTGTAGCATTTTACGATAAAAGACACCGATTTAGCAAAGATGACGTCATGAATGCGCTTGCATCAGGGAATTCGATGTCAAAAGGTCAATTCAGACGCTGATAAGTTATTGGTCAAGTCTTTTTGTTTCCTTTATTCCGACAAAATTATACAATCAATCAAAACAAGTTTAATACCAGAAGAAAGCTAACGATTAGTATGTTCATTAACCGCTTGCCCCAAAGTCGCTTGAACACAGTGAAACGAGTGAGAGCTTGCGAGAGCGGCCAAAGTGTGATTGAAACTCGCTATTTGCTCTTCTCCAACGCAAAAAGAGACGACATTGTGCTGGATAAATGTATTTTTTCCGACAAAAATACAGAAAATTTGCATATGGTCTTTTTATATTATACTTTATGAAATGTTACCCGAGCGACTTCCGGGCGCCCCAATGCTGGAAAGAAACGCACATTTTAGAAAACTTCACTTTTTCATGGAAAAATGTTTATTTGTTCTATGCACGCAAGTCAGATTGAGCGGATGATACAACGTTTCCATATGCGGATCCCTGGTGTAAAGTCCTCAGAGCCCCTCCTAAAAGTACTGAGGGTTTGTTTTGTTTTTGTTTTACTTTTTTTTCGAAAACGTTTTGAGGTTTAAAGGCGTTAAACAAATAAATTCTCAGAGTGTTTCTAGAATTGCTACCCCCATACACCCCCCCCCCCCCCCCCGCAACCTCTATCATCGCCCAGACAATTCTGGACCAGATACTGATGGGAGAAAAATGTTATCCTTAGAGTCCCAGTTCAAAATTGGTGACAGGGCTGTTACAAGCTCATAAACAACTTAAAGGTAATAGGCCTACAAAGTTTTGGTATGGGGTCATGAATTTGGAAGCATATGCGATCCTACAATATTCAAGGATCGTTGTCGCGATTGAAATCGAGTCTAAAGTGATGAAATTGTGAATAATAAACTCTTCTTGTTGTATAGCTCCCTCTCAAGATTGATACTACTTCAGCTTTAAAACAATGTTTCTTGACTAAAATCTACCAATCTTCTATTCCCGTTTGGATATTATATGTCAGGACTGCATATTTCGAGATTTTCATGGTCATA